TGGGAGTTGAAGTCCACTCATCTTAAAGTGGCCAAGTTTGGACAACACTGCCTTAAATGTAAAATGAATGGAGATTTTGGGTTCATGTGGAAATTGCCTGGAAGATTCCAGTCTTGGAAGTGCACACACACGCATGCACACACACACCAATAATGTTCGCTTAAACCGCTCTGGTTATGAAGGACAACCCTAACTATTATCTTGAATGCTAGCTTTGTGTCTTGCTAAGAGAAGGCGGGGCTTAAATATGGCTGCAACCGTGTATACGTGCGCCAGCATTTTTTCATTGTTTCCTGTTGCCGGAGCAATTTTTCATTGGAAATCTATGCTTTCGATTTGCGAAAGGGGGTGCGGGAATCCTTTGGTAAATAACTCAATTTTGCCTGAATTATTACATCTTGGCTAGGAAATGAAACTTTGGTAGATTAATTAAGCAAAGGGAATTGTAGTTGTACCTTTCACCAAGAATGACATGCTTCTTTGTAACTGACGGATTACAATTGAGATAGACATCTGTGACTGATAGGTTTTTCTAGAGTGCCTTCAAAGGTAGCTATGAAGTAAAATCCATCATCATCAGAGTTTCATGGTGTGGTCCAAATGTTCTTACCTAGATATTATTATCATACATAGACTTATGCTTTGTACATTTCATAAATATGCCTTCCAGTACACGTTTCACTCTGAATCGTAAACGGTGAATATGTCCGCATCACTAAGTAACTACTTTTCTGCACCATCTCTTGCCCTGAGTTCAGGGGCGATGTGTGTGTCTAAAAAAAAGTCAGCTGCGACCAAGTGATCCAAACCCCACCTCTTTTTTGGTTTGAAAAGGCAGAGCTTTCGTTGCAGTCACAGTCCCCATCTTGGTGTTTTTGACCTTCCCTCTGGACACGCCTGTGGTCAGTATGCCCAAAATTACAAAGAAGGAGAGATTCACACGCTTAGGCATGCACTACCTAAGAAAATGTATCTTGGTCACTACTCCCAGAGAAAAGGAAAAAAATAAAATGGAAAAGCCAACTTTGGGGAAGATAAGCATGTGTTACTTAGACAGAAACGTCGTCATACGGTCTCAGTGTTGGGGGGAAAGCAATATAGGTGAATGTTGAATTCTGAGTAGATGAATTCTGATAATCGATTTTGAACTCTACTGTAAAAATTGTCATTCTATAATGCTTCAGCCTGGGTTACATGAAATACCTGCAGTGCACATCTTAAGAAAATACAATCATTGCTAAAGAGCATTTCATTCCAAACAAACTATTTCAGCAAATCATTTTTTCAAGGTTCTCTAAAATTCTCAGTGCCTCTTTTGAAAAATACAGGTGGAAAAACAGAGTCGAGATTATAGTCCTTCATATACTGTATCTTGTGTTTAAATTGTATGTAAAACTCCTTTGAGAAAAGTACACCATTCTTCTTTGCTTCAGACAACAATGATGTTAATCTTTCTGTATTGCCTTCAAGGATGGGTAGGAATAGCCTCTTGTTGGGATAGGCTCTGAGCTCTAAGATTGTGCATTAATTATTTTAGAGGCTGCGCCCTGCATTTTTGCTATGAGCTGGAGCTGAGCCGCCCTGCCTTGCAAGCAAGATCCTGCATTAGTTGAGCAGCAACCTTGTTCCTCCTTAATTGCTTTTGCAAAACTTCATACAGTGCTGGCTTCTGCTTCCATTCTCAGTGCTTCCGAAGGCAGTATAATTAGGCACCAAGATGTCTGTTCCACCTCTTAGCAAATAGGGGCGGTGTACGAAAGCCCAGGTACAACAGCGAAGTGGTTGAACTGAATCTTGCCCCATGGTGGTTATGCTGAGTTGGAAACAATGAGTGTGAAGTTTGGCCCTCCCTCAAAGCAAAGCAAACTGGTTACCCCAAGAAGCTAATGCCAACGTCCTGTGGGAAGAAAAAGTAATCTGCATGATTGTGGCTTATTTGTATCTCCTACACTGACTTTCTGTCCCATTGCTCATGTTGAAATAATATGAATAATACACACTTTCCAGTGATCTGGGACAGTGGAACCAGTACTCAGTTCCATGGCATGAATGGCGCCGTCTTGTCTTTTGCCACCAGCAGCAGAAGGTCTCTGCTCTTCCCCTTCCTTTCCAGCTCTTGGGCTTTTCCTGGTGTCCATTTTTCCATACTGTTTTTTTCTTTGAAAGCTAGGGCTTATTCTGAACAGCTGAACCAAGGGTGAGGATTCATTTTCACAGTCCCTAACCAGAAGCTGTACCTGAGCTTGCACAGGTAAACAAGGCACCATGCTCATTGTGGGTTTGGTCCTACGAAAGCGTCAAGATCGCTTACAGTTGGCGTCTCTTGAGTGTGGGGAGAATAAGATCTCAGTTAACAAGAGCTTGCTTTTTTTTTGTCTCTAGCAGGATCCCTAGGCACAGTGGTATCAAGTTTCTCAACAGCAGCTCTTGCTTAACGCTGATTCATGGATTTGCATGACCAGCTATGAGCTTGCGTGGTTTTTCGTTTCAAAGCACTCACCAGCTCAGCTTCACAGCTTCTATCATACGAAAATAGCTAGGCTATGATATGCCTTTATCATGCTATCATGCTTTTTATCACGCTATGATATCACAGCAGATATCATGCTATCTGCAGGTACCTACAAAGATGGGGTGTCCTATGCTGTGCCTATGACTTTCGTGAAATGTGCAGGCATCACAGCAGTTACGGAATGGAACATATCATATTATCTGCTTATGTGGGATAAAGTAGAGAGGATATGTTTTTGTGCTGCAATAGAGGAGATATACTATGGTTTTAAATCAGAAGAAATCTGGGCAAATCAGTGGAATGGCACTGATCAGTGTTTCTCAATCTCAGCAGCTTTAAGATGTGTGGCCTTCAGCTCCCAGAATTCCCCAGCAACCATGCTGACTGGGGAATTCTGGGAGTTGAAGTCCACACAGCTTAAAGTTGCTGAGCTTGAGAAACACTGGCATAGATCAGAATTCTGGGAGTTGAAGTCCACACAGCTTAAAGTTGCTGAGCTTGAGAAACACTGGCATAGATCAGAATTCTGGGAGTTGAAGTCCACACAGCTTAAAGTTGCTGAGCTTGAGAAACACTGGCATAGATCAGAATTCTGGGAGTTGAAGTCCACACAGCTTAAAGTTGCTGAGCTTGAGAAACACTGGCATAGATCAACCAGGACCTTTCATCTGCATATAATGTCCCTTTCTAGGTGTTATCACTGCTTTCCTTTCCTTCACGGCTCACCACAGTAACATCTTCTCCTTCTCCTACCAAGGTTGAATTAGTGGGCACAGTCCAGTCCATGCGTGGATCCAGAGAGCAGACTGACTCTCCACTGAAGGCAAAGGAAAGACCACCACCACCATCTCAGAGGTAGGTAAACAAGAGTCGTGACTGTAGACACTCTGGTGCAGAATTCTGGAATTGGAACAGACCACCAGTCCAATCTGCTGTCCTCTTCCACGCTTCACAGAGAATGTTCCACAAGCATCTCTTCCACCCTGTGGGAAGGCAATGGTTTTCTGTTCACAAACAGGGCCCCTTGCAGGTCCTGTAGAGAAGCACAATGCTAAATTGTCCATGCTGTTGAGATAAAGTGCTTGGCTATAATAGAGCACAGCAGCTCCATGGGGAGGGTTAGTTGATAGCATTCACAAACCAGCTTCTCCCAGGTTGTTCCAACTTCACTTACAAAATAGAAAACTAAATCCTTCCCCTTCTGGTGGAAGACAAGGAGGAAAAGAATAATGCCTGGGGTGCCAGCCCTTCTGCCATTCCTCCTCACTGTTGAAAGAAGCAGCTGTGCTGTGTAATTAGCATTTTAGCTTGGCAGATTGACCCAGTAGTCTTCCACTGGTGAGTGGTATCCTCAAGTCCAAAACAGAATCAGAATCTGCTGAAAATTCTCTTGGGTGAGGACTTGGATATTTTTTCAACATGAGCAGTGCTGGTAAAAAATCCACCTTACAGCTGTACTTATAAATGAAGATACCCAGTTCTTTTGTTAGATAAGACATTATTAAACACACACACACACACACAAGTTGTTGTGGAAGAAAAGAAGCTGATTTGATGGTGAAGCAGAGGGGGCCAAAGGAGGACAAAAGGTGAATGTGAAGTTACACCAAAGCAGTGGTGTATATATGTTGTGTATGTGTGTACACGTGTCATGACATCACACACTTGTACAGTGGGGGTAGAGCTTATGATGCAATGCTCATTCATCGTTTTGACAGAAGCACTGAATCTTGTGGCTTGCGTCATCAGTCTCTTATGATGGAAGTTGATAGGAGATTCTAGACATTCAGTTTAGATCAGATGCTCCGTCAGTTTCGTATTCCATACTATACTCGGCCGAGGTGAACAACAATGGTTGTTTCTTCCATTTAGAAAATGCATGTAAAATTCAGTTATGGCTAAGGGCTAATAGAAAATTTTCTTACAAGATCATTTTTAGCTTGCTGTTACACTGAACAAAGGCAACAGAAGCTATTATGGGAAAGCTTGAAACTGTTCTGAAATGAATTCCCCCCCAAAAGCTCTTTGTTGTTATAGTATAATAATAGTAATCTGAACCAACTGTTTCTAGTTGTTTTGAACAGTTAATTTCTGAATTTAGCAATTGATGTTACCAATGGAGGCAAGTATGTGTAGCTCAGGGTCTTTTGGTTTGTAGCACAAGAAGAAAAAACGGATCATCTACAACATACAGTGTAAGGACTGTAACAAACACTATGTAGGACAGACAGGCAGAAGGCTGGCAGAGCGCATCC